ATGATACAGTTGAAAATATGTTTTAATTTTCTATTTATTGCTTTAAAAACACCTGTGTGAAATTAGCAGCCAAATTTGGCAGCCGAAATTCCGAAAATGCCCGAACGTTCATGGACGTACGTGAATAAGTCAAATTTACGTGTGAATATAAAAATTAGCATGCAGAACACTATGAAGACCACGAGGCGTTATTAATCTCTTTTAGATAGCACTAGTTCCTCAGTGAAAATCATCTCCTTGGCTTGAGGATTACACCTCGAAAAAAATAAAAAACCGGATTTTTNTAAAATGGGTATTCTAATAATGATAACTCTCATGTATTTTTAAAGGAAGTTTCGTTTCTGTCGTTTTTGTCTGATTGTGTGCGAAAGAGATAGAGTTATAGTGTGCGATAGAGATAGAGTGACTTTGCCCTCATAGAGAGCCTCTCTCTCTCTTTGCTTCTTCATGAGTCTCTGGGGCTCAGGATACCTAGGGAGGGAGTGTGGGGTACAACGCGTGGCCTTTTTAGCCTTCGTTATGGAGCTATGATGTCACAACGTATGAGAAAAAAAACGGTTTTTGCTCGTAACTTGGAAATGGCTGGAAATATAAACAAATCTCCCCTTGGTTTTGAGTAGAGGACTTGGTGAAAGAAAAAAAGCAATATTTGCTTGTACCTCGGAAATGATTCGAAATATCAAAAAATCTCCCATGGTTCTGATTGGTGATCGAGTGAAAAACGTCAGAAGTCCGCATGTCGAAAAAAAATCAGGACCAACGGCGTGTGACATCATAAAATAAAAAAGTGTTTCTAACTCGGAAACGGTGCATTGAATCGAAAAAATAATTACATAAAATCTCCCCTACATCCTTGGTTCTGGTTGTCCCTTCTGCGTTGAATGTAAAAGGTCCGAAGTCCGTATGTGGAAAATAAATTTTGGAAACAAAAGGTGTGTGAGGTGATACAGTAAAAAAGGTCTGATAATTCGGAAACGGTAAAAAATCTCCCCATATCCCTGGTTCTGATTGTCCGTTCTGCGTTGAACGGAAAAGGTCCGAAGTCCGTATGTCGAAAAACAAAAAAGTTAGTCAAAAATTGCAACGGCAGTAGCGAACGCATTATCTTATCACTGTTAGGGGTCATTGATTGTTGATTTGTTGTTTTTTTTTTAAAATTAATTTCGTATTCAACTACTCCTTGAGGTTCCAACAATTTTACATTTTGATAATTTTTTTGAACACCTTGTGTCACAAATATGAGCACTATCAATGGCATCCATAATATGCAACACTTGTATCAATAATTATTTTACCTATCTAAAGAAATCAACAATAAGAAAGCTGTACCCATCTAAGGATACACAACCTGTATAATGCAAATTTTTTAAGCATAGGTGTTAATATTTACAAAATTGGAAGTTGGCGCACAAATCTAAAAACATTAATTTCAATTTTTTGAATTCTCCCATTCCAAAGTGATATAAAATAAATAATTAATTAGGGAAATTCATAGTTTTAATTCTAACTTGATTTATTTTCTTTAGCATTTATCAGAAATGTGATTTGCAAACAAAAGATAAGTTCTATATCTCTTTAATTACATTACTGAATGAATTAAATTTATTTGGCAACAAAGCCACCGCTAGAACTGCCGCCTATTACCAAGTAAAATAGTTACCACGCTAAATTTTATAGCTGGATGGAGGCTAACAAAAGCCTGCATCTTTTTTGGGTTTCCAGCATTTAACACGCAGACTGTGGCGAAAAGCTATATTGTCTGTGTTTTGTCTCAATGTCGTAACCGTAAACCCAGCTTTCGTTTCCCGTTATGATCGTTTGAATGAATGTTTCATCTTCATTGAATTATTCAGGGAATTGCCCACAAACGTCCACACGAGTTTGAGTTGTTTGGTCATCAAATGAGGAACAAATTTTGCTGCAACTCGATGCATGTTCAATTTTCAGTCAAAATTTCATGGCATGACCCAATTAAGCAATTTCTCTGACAGTCAATCGGCGATTTGCATACACCAGATCTTTGCTTTTATGAACGCAGGAGTCATCAGTTGAAGTCGAAGGCCTTCCTGGTCGAGAATCATCTTCAATTGACTGACGACCACTTTTAAATCGTGAAAAACATTCGTAACATTGCGTACGACCTAGAGCATCATCTTCCGGAGCTTGTTTTAAAAGCTGAAAGGTTTCCGTGAAAGTTTCTACAGTTTGACGCAAAATTTTAGGTTGCATCGTTGTTTCAGAGAACCACATCTCAAAAATCGTCACTAACACTTAAACACGTTGCACTCAAATAACATTATCACGAAAACTAAATGAGATATCAACAGAGAAGGTTATGCGCAACGCAATGCTACCAACTGCTGTCACTAAATATCTCTATTAGCGCGTAATTCAAAAAGTTCAGTTATTTTATGAATATATCTCGTATATGCATAATGTTTTAAGTATTTTGTAAGTAGTGTTTAGGTAGTAACTTAAAATTGCACATCGTACAGAATTTTCTTAAAATTGTTAGCAAATACTTACAATACTTTAAGATATTTTTAAATTTTAAATTCTAATTATTTTTATGTGACTCCATAAATAAAAAAATATAAATGAAAATCTTTTTAGATCGTGGTTAAGAATTTTACGTGCATGTGTTTAAAGACAAAATAGAAAATCGGTGTACAATATTTAAAAGCTGCTAGAAAATCTGTTGCTAAAATTCAAAATATTTGGAATTGCAGATTCAAGGCATGTATTGACTATGAATTGCAATACCATATTAATTATTATTTAACCAATGAAATTTTTATAAACAACAAAAAAATTATACTGATACTACAAATGAAATTATTACTGAAGTATTCAATAAATGACTAAAGTTAATATTTGTTGAAATAAAATAGGCAAAATTGTTTAAAAAAGTAACACATGTATTTTGTAGTATCGATAAAAAATTATGCATATTAAGTTTAGCACATGGTCCACTGATGAAAGAAATACATGTTTTCCTTTACACATATTTATTTATTTAATGAAAATAATTTATACAAATTTTATAAGTTATATACTGCACACAACTTTACCATATATCTCATAGGGTGGTCCACTTCCATCATTATTATTGAAGGGTTCAACCTGCCAAACTATTTTCTAAAACTAGTGGAATTTGAAATAAGATTAATTTTATCACGATTTTTATAACAAGATATTTTTATTAATGAAAAGAAGTTAAAGATATATTACTAGATATTTGGAAACAATTTTGAAGATTTAAACATTTTCTGATGTTTTGTTCGATTTGAAAATTATTCTATATAGGACACAGCGTTCCATTTTACCTCAGTCACTGTATTTGAGGGCGGTAAATGAATCTAATTACAGGTGGAACCTAATTAGACAGAAGCTACAACAAACGAAATCCTAAATGGTTACAAAAGTGGAACAGGCAATTAATTTCAATTTCATAACAGCAACACAAGAATGCAATTATTGTCGATTGGAATACTTATAGTACTGATATTAATTAAAAAGTCTTGTATGGAAAAACTACTGAAGCAATTATATTAGGTATGTATACAGGGTGTCCCACCAGGGATTACCACTATCGATATCTCGGAAAGTACAGATCCGAAAATTTGGGAACCTAGCAAAGGCAGTAGGGCCGACACAGATAAAATATTTAGAACCTATATATTATTGCATTTTCGGATTCTACGTGAAATTTGAGGGTCACTATATTAAATTTATTCTTTATTATTTTTTTATTTTTATGATTTATTATACTATTATACAGGGTGTTTCATAATGATGTGCAAATATTTTAAGGAATTGTTTACAAAGTAATTTCAAAAGGGGTACTTTTAAGACATTTTTTTCGATTTGAGNTTTTAGCTGTGTTGGCCCTACTGCCTTTGCTAGATTGCCAAATTTTCAGATTTATCAGACCAATACCTTATATATATATATATATTGATCGTGGCGATTTCTGGTGGAACACCCTGTATATTCAATTTTTTTAAAACAGAAAACCCTACAGATTTAAAAATGTGGAAAAATGTAATATGCTGTTAATTACACTTCTACGGGCTCGGTTCTGGATATGATAAAACGAATTTCCATGAGAAAACGGTGTGATTCTAACGTAAAACATTAAAAAACTTACTCTAAAGGTTGACAGATTAAATCATAAAAATTAGTTGTCATTTCAGTTTGAGAGTCGTTCCTTAGGTAGCAGCAGTTACTGTTACTTATTAGCTTTGTTTTGGTTCCCATAAAATCCGGTTCCGAACGGTTCTAATCATGCGGAGTCTGAAATATGCGTTCGTGTTTACTTTGAACGGTTCAGAATTTCCCAGATGTCTGTTTTGGTTTTAATCGAACTTGATTCGGAACCATTCTGAATCATCCGAAGTAGTTCTAGCTCCCTAGCACGAATTGCTTAGAACTGTATTATTTGGCGCATGCGTAGTTATTCCCATCTTTCCAAGCTCCGTTTTTCATTCACAATTTTTTCATTTCCTGTTTTTCGTTTAAGAAAAGTATATTTTTATTGGGTTTTATGGGTATATTTTTGTAATGCGTTCTGGTTTTCAAATAATTCCGGATAGTTCCGAATCGTTCAGAACTTTTCTATTGCGTTTATAGTTCTGCGATGATTCTGGACTAATCAGAAATAGAGAACCAAAACAAAGCTATTATATCAGAATATGACGTGTCATTCCCTCTCGACTCTATCAGTTCTCAATAGGCTTTTTTCGCGAGTGAAATCGTATGTTGTAGTATGTGTAGTATGAGTGAGTGAAGAGATTTAAACTACCACAGGACAACTAAGATCGAAAGAGATAGAAATAGTAACTACAAGTCAGATATTCACGAATACACACTTTTTTGTTAAATAAGCTTAGTATGTATTTTTTGCGTTACATTTTTTAACATAATAAAATACAGTTATCTTCAAAATATAATTTCTTAACATTATCTATTTTGACATACGAACTGTGGTGTGAATATAATACGATGTGCTCAATTTTGTCTAGTTTGTAAGGAACTACAGATGTTTGTTTTGACATAAATAGTAGCTCAATATTATTTATAAACAATAATGATACGTAACATGTAAAATGTGTAATTTCCACAATAATTACAGTACTTGAAAGGTCAGTTTAAGTTATAGTCTAAATGTGAATGTAACCGTAAATATTTTGTCAAATTTGAAGAAGTGTTACCTGATATGAATAATAAAATGAACATTGTGAAGATATTTAGGCTACAACAGCTTTGGATTGTCAAAAAAAAAAACGACAGAACGTTGCATTTTCATGTCAATATATGCTGTGATTTCGTCAATCTTGTTCTTTACTAACGGCACTACACGTGCATAGGCACATGATATATTCATACCACGCTACCAGTTGCAATGTGTATTATTTGTACGCAAATACAATTTGTTTGTGGGTCCATATTCTGACCCTGTCATCTTTACCAAACGTTTACATTCTATGGCCAGTTAAAACCAAAAAGAAAGAAGTGGATCAACCCTAATGACATGCAAACACCCTTACAACTAATAATAAATAAGACGTCGAAAATATCATGTGTGCCCAATATTGACACCACTTATCCGCAAAATAAATAGCGTTCATAAATTTAAAGAAAGTTCTTTAATTTGTCGGGCATAATCGCTCTCTTCCTATATGCAGTCGCAGTAGCAAGAACCATCCAAATAAATTAGTAGTAATAGGATATGTCTTTATCCCTGACGACAGGCTGGATAGGAACATCTCCCCACGGTTGCGGGTCTCTTTCGCCACTCACATCTGTCGAGGAGTCGGGACGTTGAAAACTGAAGGGCCATGTCTGCAATAAATAAGTATTGTCTGAATTATCCTGGTGAAAGCTGTTAAGCGACGGTTGCGCGTTATGACGGATTGCTCGGAGCGCCACTTTTGCCGGGCGCTCTGGGTTTGTTATCAAAATAAATACGAAAACAAGTTAATATTAATTGTAGCAGTAAGTGACAAGGAGAATGTGTTAGGAAGTGAAGTTTAAACGGTCATAATTCAAGATCTAGTTATAGGCCAGGAAAAAGAGCTGAGAAATGATCATTTCACGACTTTCTATTTCGGCAAGCTGAATTTATCAATATAGATGCTAAATATTATGTAAAAATAACATATTAGTTTGTTTACAGGCTGGTTAATTGTATAATTTTTACGTGAATTCACGTTTTTCGCTTATAACCTTTTTCCGTTCATTTCCACGAGAAAACAGTAAAATACTTTCTTTTAAAAAATATTAAAATATTTCTGAGAAGTAAATTTACCATTAATAAGAAACGGTTCTATTATACGGTCATTTAATACTTCACACAAAATGTTAAGGGAAAATCTAATTTGGTGGCTAAACTCTTAAGCCAAATTTAGATTATCTAGAGCATAATAATATTTTTTTTTTATTAAAAATGCCGTTATTCGTGAACGTAGTTTCATCGCTCCAAATAACTTTCCGCCGAACAATATATCTTCTATTATCTTTTCCTGAAACCATCTACAAAATTCCATTCTTCGTTCGTCATCTCCTGGATGTTTTTTGTACTGATTTGAATTTATAATCATGGTACTTCTATTTTTTCAAAATCTTTTAATGGTTGTCCGTGAAGTAGATTTTCTCTTGCGATTACCCTCATAGTACTCTCAGGATTTATGTTAACTTGTCACAAGATATTTATTTCATTAACAAGTTCCCGTCTTCCTTGATACCTACATTTAATTACGTAATTTGAAACAAATAATCTCTGAAAACAAATAAACAGTAAGTATACCTGCATCTAAGTTTCTCCACACTTCCGAATTCTACCATATTTCTATACACTTTTAAAAATACCATTCGATGAGGCTGGTGTCGGTGTCTTTCTGAATATAATTGAGGATATCTTCTAATAATTTTTACAGTTTTTATTATTTTCTATGTATACCTAACTCATACATCTCCCTCTTCTCTGTAATTATCTTTACCACAATTTCAATTAAAATAAGTTTTAAAATAATGTACACAAGCACGCGCTAGCAAATTTCGAATCTGTCAAAATGTTTGTGGATTTTTGTTTTACGTCAAGAACAACTAGATTTTATTAATTTTTTAAATAAATTATTGAATTTCTTTAATTTTGTGGGTTATTATTCAAATAAAATAGTAGTGTAGTGTTACATAATGACGTGTTCATAATTTTATCCTCTATCTGTTACTGTCAAAATCCAATATGGCGCCCATAAGAAAAAAAAAACAATTGATGTTGCATAACTGAAACTAGTGGCCGTAGAAATTTTCTTTCGACAAAAATGGATTGCTCATATTTTATTATCCCCCAGTACCAAATTTCAGCTCTTTCTGTTGTGAAATAAGGACGCTAGATGGCATTTTCTAAAATCGTTATTTTCAGTTTTTTCACAATATTTTAGGAACGGCAGCAGATATCTTTGATCTGTTAGGTTTATTTTAATAACTCTGAAAAGGCTTTTTTCTAATTTGAGCCACTCTGTATATCTGACCACCCTGTATATGGTCCAAATTTCAATTTTTTCGCCCCTACGTTTTCTTAATATCGGTTTCCAAACTTCCAAACTCAGGGGTATATTTCATTTATTTCGATAGTAGGTATAGAATAGTATATTGCCACAAAGGCAGAAAATGAGCATTAGTAGCCCGTGGATATTAGCTGATAGCTAAGGACTACTATTGCGTTTTCTGCGTATGCGAGACATAACTGGTTTTCGCCTTAGCATTAAACAAAACCAAAAAAATGAAAAATATAACAAAATTCATTAATTTCATAAATATTAACATAATTTAATAAGGAGCTTAAGTAGTAACAATTTGCGAATTTATTTATTATAATAAATAATTACCTAACCCTTGAGAACAATTATTGATACTTAGTAATACCAGAATTTGTAGGCATTCGGTAAATGTTTGAAGTGTTAGCAGCATGGTGACTTATTTCTATAGATGAAGTTGATGGTTCATCGGAATTGTCTAGATTAATTGGTATTTCATTTATTTGGTCGGAAATGTTTAATACTTCAGTTGTGTTACCTTCTCTAGTACTAGACGGTTGCTTTGGCTTTGTCAGGATTTTTTGAGAACTATGAGTTTTATTTGATAAGCAGTCATCGATATATCCTTCTGCAACTGCAGAAGAACGCCAACCTCCATGTTTTTTAAATGTTAGTAAATCACTGCCAGAGTTAGCTAGTACGAGTAGAGTTGCGGAACTACGGCGGAAGTAATGTCCTGTGTCTGTATTAGGTTCAAACAGTTTAAAAAAAGTGTCTATTTTGCTTGGAATTGTGCTAAATACATTTTTTCAGATCGGTTGCACTGTGCATTTATTATTCTCATAATAAATGAATTAATAGACGATTATTAGGCCAGAAAAATAAGCTGGGAAATTACCATTTCGCGACTTTTTGTTTCAGCAAGCTGAATTTATCACTGTAGATGCTAAATATTATGTTAAATTCACGTTTTTCGCTTAGAACTTTTTTCCTTTCATTTCCACGAGGAAACAGTAACGTATTTTTTTTTCGTCTTCAAAAGACCTACAAAACTAACCCTCGAGCATAAAAAAATATTGATTAGATCAAAAGTGATAAACTGAAGAAGTTTATTTATGACTTTTGAATTAAAATTTATAAACTGCGTTATTATTACCAGAACATTTTGGCATCGCATGCTTTCATTCCTTATCACTGTCTAACAACTCACACGAAATCTGGAATCGCTAAGTTGAATAGTTTACATGTCATGGCTTTATAAACAAATTAACTAATTATTAGTCTGGACGATCCCGAAGATCTTCCACAATCGCACTGATTTTTTTCTTGGTACATTTCATAATAATACATTGAAATCTATCATTTTTTTTTAAATTTTAAATTTGCAATCTGGAAAGTTTTTTATTTTTTAGCCTTAGTTGCAAAATTAAATATACGACGCACGCGCGTGATATTGTTATATATTATTACATATTCGGAAAGCTTATGAAAAGAGTTTTAAGTTAAAAAAAAAAAATCGTCAAGATTCGTTGAAAAACAGCGGAGTTACAGACTGTCAAATATATTATTTTTAAACGAATTTCCCTTTTTTAACGGCAGGACTATGAATATTATCGTCATTTTCTTCGGACTCGCTATTGTTCGCTTTCTCCGCCATTCCGCCGCACCACGGCTCGCTGAGAAATCAAGCGACCCACTGACTTTTGACAATATTTCTTATGCACTTAACATACTTCCACAAATAAAATATTTTTATCTGGGAAAGTACTCGGGTTGCCGGTTATGACAGTTTTTTTTGCCGCTACCAACCTAATGTGTTTAACAATAGGCCGTCACCTTTGACAGTCGGTAAATCCATTGTTTTTAAACGAATCTTGACGATTTTTTTTTTAACTTAAAGCTCTTTTCATAAGCTTTCCAAATATGTAACAATATAACTATATCACGCGCGTGCGTCATATATTTAATTTTGCTAAGACTAAAAAATAAATATTGTTTATAAGGCCATAACTTGTAAACTATTCAACTTACCGATTCCAGATTTCGTGTGAGTTATTAGACAGTCATAAGGAATGAGAGGATGCGATGCCAAAACGTTCTGGTAATAATAACTCAGTTTATAAATGTTCAATTCAAAAGTCATAAATAAACTTCTGTTTATAACTTTTGATCTAATCAATATTTTTTGACGCTCGAGGGCTAGTTTTGTAGGCGTTTTGAAGACGAAAAAAAAGTACTTTACTGTTTAAAAAGTTAATACCGTAGATATAGGTTCTAATTGATCCATAGAAACGTATCGAAAAAGAAAAATTTCAAAAATTTGTAATTAAGTATCCCTTTACAACTAACAAAATATGACGTGCAAAGCAGCATTATAAACAAATCGTCCCAGGGTTAGGCAAAAGCCACTCGGGAATTCACTCTTTTTGCATTAAATACAGCTTATTTTTACGGTAATTAAAAAACCTACGCCTTTTTCTTCCCAAGATAATTTTTTTTATATATATAACGTTAATTGTTAATTAACTACTGGACTTGTCGGACCGGGATTTTAGAGACAATTGTGTAAAATTCGATTATTATACCTTTTTTGGTTTTCAAATTACAGCCGCTTTTCCATTTTTTGGAAATTTTGAGAAGCTGAACATTTTACTAAGCGTCATTTTTACGTACAGCGTTTTAGCTGTAGATTGTCTAGTACAATTTGTGCTACTTCTTTTGAAAACACTGTATAATATCTAATATTTTGCCATAAACATGTATAAAAATAAAAAGAGGAAATCGCCGAGATATTTTCCTTTTGTAATTACCTAAATACTTTAGACGCATTCCTTTGTTCTTGGTGTTTATTTAATTTCACGGAAACCGTTCCGTTTATAACAATTATGGGCGATTGTTTATCATTACAAAAGAAATCAAAACAAAGAGAATTTATGGGATGTAAACGTCGAAATTTTATTTTGTTAATGAAAATCGAACAGCTGGAACCATTTGTCGGCGGCCTCTAATTATTTCTATGACATTCTAGATGTTTGTTTAAGCGAAGTGCTGCCACTTGGTCGCTGCACATCCTTCCAATGTAAGCAAACTAAAATTATCCGGAAATATATTTGATCGCTAAGTGATGTCAATTTTTAAACGGATTATTCTCTTGCACACAATATCTCCCCCGATTTTTGCAAATGTTAAATATGATTTACATATATTTCTTAATTACTGTTTAAAGCAATGTTTGCGTATTTATTTTGGCGAAGTAAAGGGTCATTATAGAATTAGATCTTACAAAACTTCAGAAGTGTATTC